TATATACAGAGAGAGAGAGAGAGAGAGAGAACTTGGATGGCTCCAGACAGCACTGTTCATGGGTTATTTCCTTCCTTTTGCTCTCTTCCTGTTCAGATGGCACTGAACCATCCCATATGCACTATGAACTAGATGAGAATTATTTCCGAGGCTATGAGTGGTGGTTGATGAAGGAAGCCAAGAAGAGGAACCCTAATATTATACTCATGGGTAAGGTTGCATGCTTATGATGCCCCTCTCCCCACTAGCAGCTACAAAACATATACAGGACTGATCTTCATTGTCACTGTTTATTATGTTGTGTCTTTATGCATTATAATTTATAATTTTATTTTTTATATGTGTACATTTGATTGATTGGTTGATTTTTGAGACAGAGACTCACTTTATGACCTAGGGTAGCCTGGAACTTGCTATGTAGCCCAGACTGGCCTCTCACTCATCCTCTTGTCTTTGAAGGGCTAGGGTTACAGGCTGATTTATTGTGCCTGGCTTGTTATTGCTAAGTCTTGGTGTCTGTTACTGTGCTGAAATACCACGACCTTAGCGCAAGCTGGGGACAAAGGATTTTTCCTTTTTTGCTTACACTTCCAGATCACTGTTCATCATCAAAGGAAGTAAGGATAGGAACCCAGACAGGGCAGGATCCTGGAGGTAGGAGCTGACACAGAGGCCAGGGAGCTTTCTACTGGCTTGCTCAACAGAACTTGCTCAGACTGCTTTCCTGTAGAACGCAAGCCGGGGATGGCATCCTTCACAATGGGCTGGGCTGTAGGCCATCAGTCACTAATTAAGAAAATGCCCTGCCCACATAGAGTTTAGTCCTTAGCGGTAGATTCACTGGATAGTTGCTCAAGACGGACTATATTCATTTCACAGTCCATAGCAACATGAACTACTTTAAACAGCCAGAGCTTTATTCTTTTTATCATCTGAAATGAACTCTATCACTCCATCACTTGCTCTTTTGAAGCAGACTTGCATTCAAGCTGAGCTCAATAAAATTATTTTAAATGCCTTCTTTCAAAAATACTAATTACAAAAAATAGTTCCCTTGATAGTTAAAGGAAAGAATATTATTTTCCAAATTAAAAGATCAGTGAAGAGTATGTTCTTCCAGAAATGTTTGGAAGAGTGTAAGCATCTTTGAATGGAGCACCTGCTCCCTGCTGTGCTGTTTTCAAGGTCAGACCGCATTTGTAGGTGTGGGCATTTTCCTGTTAAACCACAGCCCAGCAAAGACTCACGTGGTGGATCTTCACTGTGCTCAGCCTTCTGTTGTTTTGAAATGGTCTGTAGTTTTAATGTCATACATTTTACATAGTGAAATGAGCTTAGGAAAAATTGCATCATGTTGATTCTGATTTTGCTTTTAGCAGTGAACTAGATGGTAGTATATTCAGTTGGAAATGAACTTATTTGAAAATATCGCAGTTGAAGTGGGAATTGTAACTCATGCCTTTCTGTTCCCTTTTCTGACTTTGCAGTCAAAAAGAGTCACAGGAAGACTGCGCTCACTCTGAAGTTCCCTGCACAGCGGCGTTTCCTCTCAAGTCCCTGACATTTATATATTTATGTAATGCCCAATTTAGGTTTGCTCATCTTGTTTCTGGTAGTGCCGGCATTGTTTCACACATTCCACTTTACCTTTCTTCTCCCTGCAGGGTTGCCGTGGTCATTTCCCGGATGGCTGGGCAAAGGTTTCAGCTGGCCTTATGTAAATCTTCCGCTGACTGCCTTCTATATCGTGAGATGGATTTTGGGTGCTAAGCATTATCATGACCTGGACATTGACTATATTGGGGTTAGTAACATATTGGAAATAGGATTTATTTTCGGATGTGTATTTTAGAAAGTTTAGAAAGTAATTTGATTCATATTTTGTTCCATTGAAAAGATTTATAACCATACTTTATGTATAGAACTACAATTTACATATTGCATTGCACTATGACTTGATATAGTTTTTATTTTTTAATTATCATTTATGTGTATGGGTCCTTCTGGCCTCTGAGAACACTACATGCACAGACATACGTGCAAGCAACGCACCCATACACACTTTAATGATAAGGTTCATTTTCAGATATTTCAATATTTTCTCTTGAGAAATTTTGGATTTTTGTTTTGCAGATTTGGAATGAAAGGCCATTTGATGCCAACTATATAAAGGTCTGTAAAACTATATAATCTCTTTTTGCTTATACTTTTATACACAGAAGTTTGGAAGACAGATTTGAAACATTGTTGTTTGACAGCATAATGGATTTACTAAATGTGCTATAAAGTTAAATTCTTAATGTCTATGTTCCTGCTATTGAATAGTCTGTGTGCAATTCTTCATAGGCCCTGAATGGCCTATCTGAAGAGTTGGGTTGAATGTTGGGGCAAGGTTGTGGTTTACAGTGGAATTCATGCTTATTTGAAGCCCTTCAGCACCAAAAGGAAAAACAAAATGAAGCAAAACATTAGGCAGGTGTAGCGGTACACCTTTAATCCCAGTACTTGGAAGGCAAAGGCAGGTCTCTGTGATTTTGAGCCCACTCTGGTCTACATAGTGAGTTTTAAGATAGGCAGGATTATATATCTCAACAAACAAACAAGCACAAATATATACCAATGTAAATATTGTGTGCATATATATGTATTAGCTTTATAATTCTGATAAATGTTATAAAAGCAACATATTAATTTAGATTTTAAAGACTCAAGAAATTTAGCTTTATTTGTTTATCATATTTCTGAATTTCATTCAAATATCCATGATATTGTTTTTGTGTCTTGTGGTTCCATTTCTGGCTGCGCTAAGATCCTCTGACCAAAAGCAGCTTTGGGGAGGAAAAGGACTTATTTGACTTACATTCCCAAGTCAGTCCCTTACTGAGCCAAATCAGGGCAGGAACTTAAGAAGCTTGGAGCAGAAACCACGGGGAAATGGTGTTGCTGGGCCACTCTCAGTTTCACGCTTAGCTAGCCCAGGGCCATCTGTGTAGGGACTGTGCCTCCCATTGTGAATTAGACCTTCCCATAGTAGTTAACAGTCAAGGCAGTCCCCACAGATGTGACCACAGGCGAATTTGATCTGGGCAGTCCCTCAAATGACACTCCCTTCTCATGTGACTCTAGCCTGTGTCAAGTTGACAGTTAAAGCTAGCTAGGGTAGAGCATATCACATAACACGGTTCTGTTTGCCATCTTTGGAGAGTAGTACCCAGTATTTGAAAATCTTATTTCACTACTTTTCTTGGATCACTCTAATACCATCAAGTCCCTCCCATGAGGTGGTTGCTATTACCAGTTTCCAGGAAACAGAAAACTGAAATGATTTCTGTTATTGGAAAAACCCAGTAGTTTTACTTTCCATATTTAGCATTCACTAGTTTACTTTCCATCTCTCTTTGTCTTGTGTTGTGTCACTTTTCTCCAAGAAACATTTTGTTTAAATTTTGCTGTTTTTCTTCAAATCGAATGCATATGCGTCTAAGCATATCATTTTCAATGGATTTCTTTTTCCTGCTCATTTAGTCAGCAAGACAGCAGATATTTGTTCAGTACATACTATGTCAGGCACCATTAGCATGTTTGGAATGCAGTGATAGAGAATACTGTTAATGCCAGAAAGAAGTTCTGGCAGAGGGATAGAGAAAAAAAAATATAGTCATAATTCTTCTAAAAGAATAATGAAAAAACTGGTTTTTCAGAAAGTGACTAGAAGAGATGGACTTTGTCCCTGGCTTGGTTAGGAAGGTCGGTTGAAAGATTATGTACAATTCTAACCCCCGGGTTGCTAAGGCAGCCCATGGTATTAAAGTCACAGCTGAGGGTGACAGGAAGAGCGCTTGTAAAAAGGTGCATCAGACCAAAGAGCAAGAGAGACACCGAGCCCAAGCAGTAGGCTCCTGGGGTCCCTGGAGTGTTGAAACAGGAGCGGTGGCAGGGCTGCGTCCCCGGCACCCGGCCGCCCGCATGGCTAGCTTATGCCCAGAAATAATTACACGGAAACTGTATTCTTTCAAACACTGCCTGGCCCGGATAGTTCCAGTTCCTTATGGCTAGCTCTTACATATTGTTCTAACCCATTTCTAATATTCTGTGTAGCCCACGAGCTGGCTTACCAGGGAGGATCTTAACCTGCGTCTGTCTGGAGCGGGAGAACCATGGCGACTCCTCACACAGCTTCTTTTTCCCAGCATTCTCCTCTGTCTACTCCGCCTACCTAATTTTCTATCCAATAAAATGGGCCAAGGCAGTTTCTTTATTAATAAGAAATCACTCCCACATCACTGGAGTGAGGGCACATTTTAGCAACTTTGTCGTCAGTGAGGAGGTAGGGTATTGTTTTGAGAGCATCCATCGCAGCCACGTTGCAGCTCCATCCAGAGCATGCATGTGTCAGTGCCAGGCTGCAGGCCTGACGAAGGTGGTAAACAGGTGATGTCAATGCAGTAGCAGAGAGGTGGATTATTCTGGAGACAAGTGCAAGTGCCATGGTCTAGGAACACAGGTTTAGGTTCCTCCAGATTTCATGTTCCACTGTGGAAACAGTTTTATAGCTACGGAACAAAGAAAAACACATAACTAGACACTTGTCCTATGCATTGGTGGACACACTAAATAGGTGGTTACAGCAAAGCAGAATGGTTAGCTGGAGGCCTCACATGTGATCTGATGATACTCCGAGCCCCTTGGCTGATAGAAACTAGGGTTCTGTTAACCAGTGCATCTCCTCAAGTGCTCTGTTCGTCATGGCATGTTAGGTCCAACACAGAGGTGCACCAAAAACAGTGTTTTAAGAGGCTAAAGAATTGTAATTAGCTCAGGACCTGGCATGTCCCAGCCTCTCCCCATCACTGAAGCTCTGATACATTTACTATTCTTTCTGGTTCTTGTTCATAGAGGTGTGGGAGTGAGTTGGGTATGGGAGATGGCACAGTGGGTTTATTAGAAAACTGAAGCACAGGATTGTTAGTGGAAGGCTATGAGTCAGAAAGATGCAGGGACAGATGGTGAAGGTAGTACACGCCTAGCATAGTAAGCATAGTGTTTGTTTCATTTCTAGGGATGTTAGAATTTCTGTTTTGTTTTGTTTTGTCTTTTGTGTTTTGAGACAGGGTTTCTCTGTAGCTTTGGAGCCTATCCTCTAATTAGCTCTTGTAGACCACGCTGGCCTCGAACTCACAGAGATTCACTTACCTCTGCCTCCTGAGTACTGGGATTAAAGGTGTGCGCCACCACCGCCCGGCCGGAATATTAGAATTATTAACATTTGGTTTCCATTTTCTTTTAAGTTAGTAATTTAATTATTGCTCTAAGATTCACTAGCATTGTTTTGAAGTCAGACTTCATTTAATTTTCTTCTGACCTTGGGGTTTTCCTACACTAATGTCTCTGGATATAGAAGCATTTAATTTATATATTTTTATAGCAGGGGATTTATTGGATTCTGTATTCCTTTGAAATTCCTATTGCAGCATTAAATAATGACAAATGAATATAGGGAGATGTTAAGTTCACGTGACCTCAACGAATACATGGTCCTCATTGTGTGAGAAGATGGCTTCTGGAGAGAAGAGGAATTTGTTTTTAAGACATCA